GTTCCTCGTGATGTACAGGTCTATAGAGGAGTCCATTCCAGCTTCCCTTTACTGTGGGGATCTCCTGTCTACAGCTAGGGCTCCCCTTTAATGTGCACCGTATAGCCTCCAGATACCTGTGCATACTGTGTGAAACAAAGCCATACAGCCCCCCAGTTTCACTCTTACTAAAGCAGAGAAGATTTGCTGGCAGAAGAAGTGAGATCAAGTTTGCAGGGCTCCAATCTCTTTGCATATTTTCCTGTCTTCTAATCGCTGCATCTTCAAAAACAGCACCGAAACTCATGGGCAGAGATAGGTAGGGTCTTCAACGCGTTATCTATAGTTAAGGTCTTTAGATCGCTACAGATTTGCAACCTACAGTATATGATCTGGTTAGAACTGCAGTGCATGCATTCTTCATTCTGTTGTAGTTTAAGTTACTACAGCTACAGTAATAGCATATAATTAATCATATTCATCATTCTGGTTTCTAAAGAAAGTAAAACAGAACAGGCTGCAGCCATTCCAACTAGTGTGTTTATTTAGGCTGAAAACCCCTAACCGGTTTGAAAACAGAGTCTACAGGAAAGGTGAATGGGGTGGTATAATCAGTGTTCTGTAGTGGAGCCGCTGCCTTTCAGAATTTGTATCAGTGATCTAGATTCTGGTAGGATTAGCAAACTAGTCAGTTTGCAGTTGGATGATACCAAAATAGAAGAGGCAGCACTTTACAGTTTAGACCAAATTCAAGGTTGAAAAAATTGGAACATTTTTAGATAAAAGTTAATAGAGACAAATGCAAGCTGTTGCATGCAGATAGCCAAAAATAAGGCAATATAAAATGAGAAACACAAAGCTCAAGAAGAGGCAACATATGAGAAAGACTGAAATGTTTATGTAGATGCATTATTTACATTTTCTAGAAACTATGGAAAAACAATAAAAAGGCGAATGTAATGTCAGGACAATGTCAGGCAGTGAGTCCTGGTCATTAGCAGCTGCAGATCCATGTTTATTATGCGCAGTGATTAGCATTGCTGGGACCCTGGGTTTCCTGCAGCTGCTCTGGTTTCCTTCCAAAGACATACTGGTAGGTGAACTGGCTTCGGTACACTTGGCCCTGGCGTCAGTGTGTGCGTGTCTGTGTGTGCTCTTAAGTTGACTGGCGTCCCATCCAGAATGTATCCAGCCTCGTGCCTCGGGTTGGACAACGAAGTTATAAAATAGGTGGACGGATGTTTGTGTTTACTGTCCTTTGTTTGACTGTGTGGTTTTTGTGAAGTGCCTTGAGACTTCTCTGGATCAAAAGAAAGGTTCTATATATGAATAAAACTGAACGGTTGTTTGAAGATGTTTTTAACAAAGAAAGATCAATCCAGATTTAAGAGCTGTAAGTGAAGCAGCCCTCGTTATAGCGCTATGAAGAGAATTCGGAGGTCTCTGGTCTTCTGTACAGTGAACACTTGGTCACCACAGATCTTGAGACTGGTGAAAGCTATGGTCTGGCTGGAGAGCCTGAAGGAGTCAAGGAGAGCAAGAAACAAAAGGGTAAAATGATCAATCGAAAGAACGTTGAATCAGGAAAGAAGGAAGAAGCGACAGTGCGATCAGGGCGCGAGTGTTGAGGCTCTGCAGCCAGGAGCACTTTGAAACAGCAGAGTGAGGACGTCCTGTCTGAGCAGCTCTGCGGTGGGTAGCACTCGAAATGACCAACAGGGTAAATGTAGGTCAGGTGAGCAGAGGCAGAAAGGAAGAGTGAAACCCTGCAGGGCTCTTTAAAAGGCTGTTCAGTTCAATTCAATTCAGTTTATTATTATACGGCGCTTTTCACAACAAGGTTTTCCCAAGGCGCTTAACAATGTGAGTGACCATACATGTTGTGAGTACAGAACAGAAGACCAGAAGACAGCGGAGGAGAGGAACCAAAAACTCCTTAGTAAGGAGAGAAAAAACCTCTAGGGGTCCAAGGTCAACTGGCTGCCCAACCCCTCTGGGCATGCTAGCATTACATAATTAAAAAAAGGAAATTAATGAATGAGGGTATTAATCCATCCACCCATCATGTATCTTCCTAGTGGGCCAACACACAGTGGCCTGTACAGCAGCACCAGCAGCCATGGTTGCAGCAGGCTACAATGTAAGGCTGTTTGACCTTGATGTAGCTGGACCAAGAGTGTGCTCTGAGCTGACGGTGCAGCCAAATCCTCCAATTCTGAGCTGCCAATTTGGAATCGTGGGCCTGTTCTACCATCGAGAAGGGGGTTGTCCGAAAGATTTGCCGAATTTTAGCTGCACCGTTCAGAGTTCAAAGCGAATCCGATTCCAACCTGTGGCTGCTCAGTCCAGAGACAGCCTTCGCAGTTCATCACGACCCAGAGAAGCAGGTCACTGTGTTTCCCCAGAGATCTAGGAACTCCTAAACAGAAGCTGAGGCCGTCGCTTTTTCTCGGTCAAACGGTACAGACGGTACGGGAAAGGCAAACCGATATTGAGCCCTGCGTCAGGCTACTTCTCATCTCGCTCGCCCACCGGTTTCGTTTCTCAGTCGTCGGAGGCAGCAAACCTCAGCCCTGCTTCGTGCCCTTTGCAGGAGAGCAGCAGAGCGTGCTGCTGGCGACCTGCACTCGACAGCCCCGGGGAAGCAGGTCAGTGCTCAGGCCTGCTGTCGTGAGGAGGGAGGACTAGCCCGAATAGCCACCAGTGAGGGGAGTCCTTCTGACCCAACACACTCTGCTGCTCCTGTTTTGATAAAGCCACATAACCAGCAGTGGCTCTACTGGAATCACTGGGGGGGGGGCGGTCAGATTTTCATACCGGGGGGGTTAGTTCCCAGTAACTCCCTCCCTCCTCCTCCTGCAAACAGAGTATTTAGAGTGACCCTTCAACCCTAACCTGCAAGCCATTGGTGTGTGGAAAGTAGAACACCCCTCAGAATCGAACCCTGGACTCCAGAGCTGTCCAGTTCCATGCCATTTGTCACCGTGCCTTCTCAGCGGCCTGCTGCAATGGAAATCATTCGGAAGAATTCCTTCTGCACTGGGGAGGCAGTAAGGGAGGCTTCCCTGCAAGAACAGTGGGAATATCATGACCCACCATTACTGAGGACTGAAAGGAATGTCTGCTGTTGGATTAGCTGTGTCCCTGTGCAGTGAGGCACAGAGAAGGGGTATCAAGACCATGACGTGTCAAAGGTCAAACCACAGGAAAAGGGCACAAAATATGCACCGTGATGAATTTCCCAGCTCGCTTTGCATAAAGCTGTATCTTGCAGTATTTTATATTTTGAGGTTTGGGAATAAAATGGCCCCAGTGCAGAATAATCATGAAGTTGTGATACCATGTGAATCATGAACTGTATTTAGGAACACAGTGTGTAAAGAAGAGTGAGACAAGTGTGAGCTTGTTTTCTTTAAGTTTAAGGTGTAAAAATAAGCTTCAACCTGAAACCACCAGCAGTGTTCACAAAGTGCTTCATAACCCTTTAACTTTTAATGTGGGTCCTGAAGGAGCAAGGACTGCTCTTCCTGGGCCTGCTGCCCTGTCCACAATAAAAGAAGGTTTTTAGCAAAGGCTTCATTGTCACGAGTGGTCCAGTAGTTGACTTGCGTCAGAAAGCAGGATGGTAAAAAAAAAACCTTCACAATCAGCCTCAAGTGAGGCTTTCTTCTCTGATAAATACCATTGATGTTGCCAGAGCCTTCAGATCAGTGAAAACAGCAACAGGGTTATTCAGCAAATAACTGACCTCAGTATTGAAGAAGCACATGATTCAAATTGCTTGTGTGTAAAATCTGATGTGTATATTTTCATGAATTGCAAGCACATTACAATTGAAAACAGGCTAACATCGGGTTTTCTCTCTACCTGATGATTAATATGAGATGTTGTCACAGTGCTTGTTGCTGAAAAGTTTCCACTGTGGTGATTTCTATTTGTTTCCATATTTTGTGTGGAGGTAGACCTGCAGATCATTCTGCAAATAATGACTGCTCTGTCTGTCGCAGAACCCGAAACTCCGGGTTCTCTCAGAATAGCAGCACTCCTCTCAGTGTGGTTAGAGCTGGGGCTGGTCGTGTGCTCACATCGAAGAGGATTTTGTAATACGCGTTTCGGTGGGTGCCTGTGACTGATGCCTGGCTAGTGTTTTGTGTGTCTGGGTGTGACCATGTCTTTGTCGTCTATGTGTCTCTGCACAGATGCACCTTCCTAAATATGCTTCTCCTACTTCCTGCTTCTTATGAAAGATTTGGGAGGTGCTGAAGAGTTTATGAGATGGAATTTTCCAAAGGTGGACCTCGCCCCGGAGATTATGACCAGCAGCTTCTCACACATACTTGCCCCCACGTCTTCTTTCCACTCTACACTTGTCGGGTTACAATTAATGCTACTCTGGCTAATAATGTCATGGCAACTGTGGCTTTAATTTCAGTCATATTTACAGCATTTCCATCTGGGCTTCGGTGAGGAAACTGAAACCAGAAATGAGGACTGACTAAATGCTTCAGAAGCCTATCTACAGGACTAATGTGTGTCAACAGCATTTCAGACTGTCGGCAGTATTCCAATCAGTCTTGATCACTACGAGCATTTCTACGAGCAGCTATGGTTAGAAATAGCTGCCAAGTATAAACTCCACCTGAACTTGAGAAATTAAACTGAGATGAGCGCAAGAGAGTGAGAGAAAGACAGACTTGTGACACCCATGTCCACGACAGTGTTCTCATTTTAACAGTTTTCAATTTTCCTTTGGTCACCCGTGTGACATTTGCCCTGTGGCCGGCTGGTTGGAGTGGACAGCGTTTCCACGCAGTTGGGCTGTCCCGACCAACACCGCACAGGAGCGCTGGGGGGCTTAATTTAGCACGCTGTGGTCGGAGAGGGGAGTTGGGGGGGGCGTACGGAGAGCTGCCCTCCTGTCACAGCGCAGGAAGGAAGTTGCAGAGGGCTGTTTCCGAGGGCTGGCTGGCTGATCTTTTCGAAGATGCTGAGATGTGTTGCGTGTTCCTTTCAGGCAGCCGTCTCGCAGAACACACAAGCGGAAACGGCTGGGCAAACATCACAAGACCTGAAATTCGTTGGGTTTACTTTTATCAGACAGGAAAGTCATACCTTCTTCTTTTTTTTTTCTCAGGCGATGTGAGAAAAGTGCCTAGAAGAAATCACGCTGCTGCAGTTTTCTAATACGGTTGGTGCCGTCAGCATCTCCCCAGCCAGCCCAGCCAGCGAGCCGGGAGGTGTGGAGAGTCATGGCCCTGCGGTCGTCCTGCAAGCCAGCAAGCAGGCAGCCGCGCCTGGTGCAGATCGGAGGAGCGTGACACCACGGGCTTTCTCAGAAAAACCACCCTGCAGGGGGGGGCGGCGAGAGACGGGGGGGGATGCTAGCCAGCCAGCCAGCCCGCCCAGAGAAGCACGTCAAGTGATATTCAGTACCACCCTGCACCCCACCCCCGTTCCCCCCAGGAGCCCAGAACTTCCTCCATGGTGTGCTGGCTGCAAGGATACAGACACGTCGGGAATAACGGCAAGTGCTGCCTTCATTCCATCCGTCTGGAAGGTGTCGTCTCCGGCCATTCAAGTCTGAAACCGGCAGGACACCCCAAACGCGAAGACAAAGAGGGGCCCACAAAGCGTTCTTTGGAGTTTTCAGCCATTCTACCACGGGGTGGCCTGAATTTTTTAATTTCCCTTTAAATAATACGGTTAGAAATGGTGAAATGGCACAGAACTGAAAGATGAGAATTCATGTGGCCTAGAGAGAAGGCACTGAGAACTGGCCCGGCCAGGTCAACACACCAGCCCCAGAACCCAGAGAACAGTGGGATTAGAGGACGGCGAATACAGTTGCAATAAAAATCTATAAAAAACTTCTTTTAAATTACAGATATCAAAATCAAATAAATAACTATTAAACACTAAAATATCTCGTCGTCTTTGCGCGATATACATTCAGAGTTCCAGGTTGCTGGACTTAGTGTTGAAATGGGCTTCTGTATGACAGAAAGCCGCTCAGTAAGGAAAGTATAAGTTCCTGAGGAACAATCCTGTGCAGGAGGGGAGGGACAGATCCCCCAGGATGCCTGGGGTGCTCTCTGCGGGGGATGGGAGCGCCTCTCGCTGAAATCGCCGGCAGTGAAGCGCCGTACGTCCTGGCGTGAGCCGGGCTCGGGCGCGTCAGACCTTGTACAGCCCGAAGAACGTGGAGTAATGGTCCAGGCTGACCAGCTGGGGGTCGGACACGCTGACGAAGACCCTGTCCAGCCGGCGCAGCCTCAGCACCGCGCCCAGGTAGCTGCTGGACGACCAGGAGCGGTCCCCCAGGCAGAAGCCCACTTTGTGCCCCTGCAGCAGGGTCCTGGGCTTGGAGTGCTGGTTCCTCCTGGAGACGGTGTGGGTGAACTCCGGCGGGGAGGGGCAGTGCGCCCCCCGCAGGCGGACCCGCGAGTACACAAAGTAATGTCCCGTCTCGTTGATCAGCAGGCTGCCATCCTCGTAGCTCACCCCGTCGGTGAAGGAGACGTCCTTCTCTGGCTCCCACAGAAGCATTTTCGAGCCCCGGGTGACGTTGAGGACTGAGGGACAGGAGAGACAAGCAGCGCCTGGAGTCAGGAGCCAGGAGAGAACTTTTCTCTTCTGTATTTTTACCAGGCTGACTGTGGAAACTGAGCGCCACAGACAGGGTGGATTTTAACTCCTAACAGCAGACGCCTGAGGCCAGCAGTCTTGTTCTGCTATGCAGCAGTAGAGCAAAGGCATTGACTGAGGCCTTGGCATTCTGCGCTGTCGGCAGGCTTTTAGACAAAAGTGGAGTCAATACCCAAAAATAGCTTCCTGGTTGATTAGAAGCATCCTTATCAGAGAGCTAGGTATTCCTGCCAGGAGTCAAGGTAAAGCTCAGAACCTGTCTTGCGATGCTGGACTCCACCCTGGACAGCAGGCCAGTCCATCGCAAGACACAGGCACACACGAGGAGAAGTAGCATACATTTTGGATTTATCTGAAAACTGATTTCGCCTCTTGTTGGTGTAGCAGCTCGTGTCTCATTGAAATCACCTCTTCCCCTCAAATGGCCATGGCCATGCACTCCTCTGAACAACCCACGATGGGCAAATATGAAATAGTGAAATGCAAATAGTGAAAATACGCCTTTCCCCTGCAAAGTCTTTCCTGAGGGAACTGTACTGCAATAAAAAAAAAACCTTTCGCTTTTCATTCTGTAGGTTAAGAGCAGCTCATCTATTTTATCTCAGGGGCAGTAAAAAGATGTTCGGACTGAGAATGTGTGACATTTCGAGCCAGTGGACGTTCTTGCAATCAACAATTGCAGTGCAAATATTTCCATTATGTGCAGTTTGGCGTTTCAGTGTCCAAATACACTATATCCTTTCGTCTTAGCACAACACCCTGTTTTAGATGACAATGTGGAAGGTTGTTCCGTGCTTACAGTAAAACCAGGGGCCCACAGCCAAGAGAACTTCATTCTGGCTTTCCAGGAGCCTTCATAACAATCTAGTTTCAAACCCACTTCTTGCATCCCTACAGAAGCAGTGCGGTGGCCAAGTGTTTACCTGTTAGATGTGCAATCCTCTTTATCTCTCTCCTTTCTGCCAGTGTCTCCAGTAGGCCTGTAAAGAACCAGGAGGTATGTTAATGCCCATTTCACAGGATGTCCCATTCCAAAGCATCTCGGTAGCTTTTATGCTTTTATGCTTTTATGCTTTTAGGTATGGCTTTTAAAACCTACATAAAATCAATTTTTCCTTACTCTAAGGCAGGAATAAGTGCAAATTAGGGCGGAGTGGAGCCCACCGTTTCCAGCAGGACTATAACAAAAGCTTTCAGTGGGTTAGGCTTTGCAGGGGTATGTGAATGTCAGGCCAGATCCTGACTCTGAAGAGCAGGGACCGGTGATCAGCCCAAGTGTGGCCCTCACTCATGGCCAGTATACGAGGGCGTGTTCACTCACCGACTTGTTTCTGCAGCACAGGCGTCTGGTGCTCTGAATCTACAGCCTGGAAACAGAGGGAGAGACTGACTCAGTATGACTTTCCATATAAACAACCCGGGGCTCATACTGCTTGCTGTTCAACCTTTTGAATCAATTCTCAATTTTAATACAATCTCAGCAATAAATACAGCCATTCTCAATAAATACAGCAATGAAGTGAAGACATTCTTTGATTGAAAGCCCCAACACCTACTGTAAGTCTGTTAGATTTATGTTTTTTTTCTCTGTTGTCTGCAGACCCCTGTGAAAATTGCTTTGTGTGTGTTTTGTGCTTGTTTTAGTGTGCGAAATCAAGTGCAATGGGCCCTAGTGCCCTTTCTCAGCGTACGAGTGACAGAAACTCCGAATGCAGAGCCGATGGTAACAGGGGGCTGTGTCTGATTCTTCTCACAGTGCAAATTTCTGCGACATCCTGTTGGTGCAGACCATTGACCACAGCTCAGATGTGACACTCAAACGCGCACTGCAGCTGCGCTGGATTAAATGTCACAGAAAGGTTTAATATTAAGTTAAGATCTTAATATTGTGCCTACATAACACCACCTACTGCTCCTCTCCCCCTGGTTCTCCCCCACACATGAAGGTTCCACACACTGGTAAAGTGAGTCATCCGGTCATAATACAATACGATATGATATGATACAATACGATATGATACATGACATAACACAACATAAGTTCCTGAAGTGCCAAAGGACTCTTTGGTCTTAATTCTAGCTCTGATCTTAAGTTCTTAATTGTTGTTTGAATTTTTAGGTCCCGATCAGTTGCCAATGGAAAGGTACTGCAAACACCTACAGGAATCTGACTCTGGAGGACTGCAGACACCCGTCGCCGATTGATAGATGAGGCAGACGGCAAATTGAGTTCATTTTACATCAGCTATTGAGTTTTGATTCATAAAATGCAGTAACGTCCATCGTGATCTGAATGGAGTCGGAGATCAAGCTCTGACCACCCTGAAGGTGGGAAATTAATTGTAACACTGTGAGACCTCATCAGTTTCCATTTGATTGTCAAGCGTTTCACAAGACTGAAACCTAAAGCTGCCAGCAAACTGAAAATCATGTTTAACTGTCCAGTGTTAACTGCCTTTCCTTTAAATGGCCATATACCCTCCCCATTCACCACCCAATGATTGCATGAAATGTTTTAGTTATTACGACGATGTATTATTTATTATTTTTATTTTCTTTTAAGTAGTTAGGGTGATTCAAATTAAAATGAACAAATCTCTCATCTCATATCAAGTCCCACTGAGCTTCCCTGCACACACATAAAAGTACATATTTATGTTTTCTTGAGGCATCTTATCTGATGATAGTCTGCATATATACGAAGAGCCCCTTATCTGCTGATGTAGATCTTGGTACAAAGCAGTCACACACAAATGGTTTCCTATTATTTGTTTATATATTTATGACTCTAAGCATTTAAAAGCACTGAAAAAATGCTGCTGGTCTCTGATGATTGTTCATCCCAAATCTCCATTATGGAAATTGTTTAAAGACCTGTTACAAAGTTCTAAGTAGAACTTTCATTTCGAATAACTTAGTTAACTTTAGCTTTGTAATGTTTCTCTTTTATTCTGAGGTTTACCCATTCGAGTGAAATGTCGCTGTCAAACAGAGATAATGCTACACAGAAAGACCACTTCACACACACGTAATGAAAAATAACACACAGAAGGACAGGCGCAGAAAACCTCTGAAATTCAGCAGCAAGCCTCCAAAGCAGCCACACTCTTAGCAACAGCGCAGAACCATTGCACGCACGCTCAGGCAGAAGGACTGGACAGACGTTCTGACAGGCGAACGGCCAGTAGGAAACACAGTGTTGGAGCTCCCATCACACCCGCAAGGACACAGACAGAGTGGACAGTTCGCACCCCCAGACCCTCCCTGGCTGACCTGCTTGAGCTGTGCCAGCTCTCCATGCATTCTCAGGATTTGGTAGGCACCCAGCCCCAGGGCGCACAGGATCAGAAACAGCAAGAAGACGAGCACTGTGGTGATGCAGGATCTTCTGCACCTTCTCTGCGGCTGCTTCGCGGGGGGAGGCAGAGACACCCAGGTAGGGACCATGTTGGCAGCCGGTGCAGCTGCCTCCTGACCTGCCCTGTCCATGAGGAAGATCGGAGGGTAGACATAGTTCAGGTTCTGCTGCATGGTCCCACACGCCGGGGGGCTGGTCTGGAGGTCTCGCTCGGGCTCTGCGGCTCTGCGGCTCTGCGAGCAGGCTTGCACGCTCTGCGACCTGTTAATCTGTTGCCTTTCCGTTGTCCTCTCACACACTCTCTCTTTCTCTCCCTCTGCGCTCTGTTTCAATCACGTAGGTACTTCAGACTCAGATCAGAACCCACAGTTTCCTCCCAGCCTGCAGATCGGCAGCTCTGATAGGCTCTTGAATGTCTCAGAAACTGACAGATTCAGCTAATCCCCTTTCGCGTGTCCAGGGGTGCACAAGTACATGTACGTTTGCTTTCGACACCGCTCTGAGACACACACACACTGAGGCCAGCCAGCACTCCTCTTTAAATAGAAACCGATGGGTGGAGGGCTCCGCCCCTTCCTCTATCATTCAATTATCAATTATCCCATTTAATCCCTAACCTTGCTAACACACATCTGGAGTTTTTTAATTCAACTTATTTGAATTCGGAGCGCTAGACCTATAAAGGCTCGCAGCCTGAGATGATTGCCGCCTCAATTCCAGCTGAGCTGTGAAAGGTTTTCTCGTTGGCTCCTTCCTAGAGTCTCCTCTTTGTCATAATGGATCTCCCCCTTTGGTATTGCTTTTAGTGAGCGTTCCAGCAGAAAAGCCCTATCACTTTAGATACGGTTAAATTTGCAGCTCACCTTCCTCCCGACAACGGTCTCTAAAGTCTGTTTTCATCTCAGATTTTGAAATGATCTTTAATGTGACTTGCTATCCTAGTCGGCGCATTAAAATGATGACTTCCGCATTATACCTCAAGCCAAAACATTCTCCCATCTTCTCGCTTTCTACAACCGTCGTCTCTCAATGCCCACGTTACCATATCGGCTGATGCTCGGAAGGATATCAGACTGTGATCTCTACTCCGTCTCCAGAGCTTCCTCTCTCTTCTACAAGAATTGGTGTTCTACTCTGCATGACCTCCTCCTTTTCTCTAATGCTTCTGTCAGTCATTCAGTAATATTCAATGCCCAGTGGTTTTCTCTCTCTCCTCGTATAATCATCAGCCCTTCTAGAGCTCTACCCTAATGTTGCTGCCATCCATGTCCGTGACACCTCAGGACCAGTGATCAATCTTACTTCTGATATCAAATCCACTTCTTCCATTTCCACTGAAGGAAGATCCTCTTCCCCTAGTTTCAAGTTTCCTTCGCCATCTCACCTGGATTTCCTTCAGCTCTAGCGAGGATCGTCCCCCTGGCCTTTCCAATGCTCAACCAAGGCTTTTTACCGTTCTCAATTACCCCAATCCCTCATCCTCATGCCCATCTCAGCTCTTTTCCCCTTCAAATTTTGAGTTCCGCATTCTTTTGTCGTCTAGGATCAAATCTCCGCCCAGATTCAGTGGACGTGTTACTACATGCTGTAGCCCATCTGCCCCCACAGCCTACTCTTCTGCCAGGACTGCATGCTCTCCCTTTCCCTCATTCCACCGGCCGCCTTTATTTCCATTTTAAGTGCACTTTTCCAAGCGCAACAGGATCTTACCTCTGGGATTCAGTTTTACCCCATGTTTCAGTCCCTCTGCTGTCCTCACTGCTTTCTATTCCAGCACTCCATCTTGCACTTCTTGGAATCCAGAGACAGCACCTCTAAGAGTTCCTTCCGGGAAGCCTATCTCCTCCAACATCCTCCGCTTTTTTCCCCCCCGAGACAAGGCCCATTTTACCCCTTCAAGGATGCTCTTCTGGATGCAATGTGTTTGACTGCCGCAGATTCTTAGAGCCGCAATCCACCAGTTTGTCTGTATTCCGTTTTTAGAATTGAGTGACCTGACTTGTACCCCAGCTTCTCATTTTTTCTAGCTTGATCCACTTCGTTGT